CTTCGACACATATCTAAAATAATGTGATCAAATTGTTATGTAAGAGGGGAAAAACCCTCCATAAATATTTCTAAAAAAAAAAATAATACCATAATTCTGTCCAAAACATCTATAAGATAATGAGCATGGTCGTAAGGAAATTTTGACCCTAAAATTACAACAGGATCCAAATTCTTTCTCTTTAATTGATAAATTAATAAATCTACGATCGAATCACTTTTACCAACAAACATTAAATGACGCGCATCAGGATCATCTAAATTTGAATCGATTAGTTGCTCGATTGGAATTGGCTTATAAAACCATGAATTGTGTTTATTAAAGGTTTTAAGGAAATCTCCAAAATATTTATTGCACAATACTTCATTAAGTTCTGTTCCTCCAAAATTTCGAGCTAATGCCATTTGAATATTTTCTGGTGTCATTTCGGCTATCGAAAGTCGCTTGACCAGCGAGTAATAATCTCGAAGACCATGGAAATTGGATAAAATTTGACCGTGTTCCACATATTCTAAATATGCATTAGCCAAAAGTTCTAACGTGATTCTTTGATCAGGTTCTTTAATATTCGTACTTAATAAATGCTCATTGGTATGGAATAAATCATTTAAGCCAAATTGCGGTCTGGAAGAATAATTTAGGAATTAAATTGATAATTTATATAATAAAGTTTATAATGATAAATATACCTTTGAATGAGTAATGCACGATTGCTTTTACTTTTATCCAAGCGCCAATTTGATATTCCAATGACCGATACGCTGGGTCTTTCTGCCGGATAACTTGGTTCGAGCAAAGAATGAAGTACGTTTAAAGGATTGAAAGGACTTTTTTCAGCAAAACCGACTAAAAAAGAAAAATTTTTAAAGAATGATGAACATAATAATATTTTGGTCAATGGATCAAATTAAAATTATTAAAATTACCATTATCAAGCAAGACAACACTAACGACAGGAAATTGTCTAGATGATGTTTCCTGATATCTACTGGCTTTCACAAAAACTTTTACTATATCATCAGAAGTTGAAAATGAAGTGCCTTGAAATGGAATTAAGTAAACGCGTGGTAAAGATCTAAAATATTCATCATTTGAATCAGCTCCACGTAAGTTCGAACTAATAAGATCTATCGTTAAAGATTTTGAGGATCTTTATATATATAGTTATCAAAGATTAAAATTAAAAATAATTAATCATATTAATACGCTGAACACTTATTTTTATCACATACCCGGTTTCTCCAATGATGAACACAGGAATCCTGGTTAAGATACATACAATCATAATTAAAACATTCTCCATTAAAGCTTCATTCTTTGCTATTTTAGGTGAACACTGCATTCTATTAATGTAATCTTCCTGCTCCTCTCTGGTGACTTTAGCAAACATATCTTCTCCTTCATAAACTTTATGAATTTGTAAGATTTGTTCCATTTCATGACGATATTGTTTACGTAATTCATGATCACATAATCGAGAATGGTAACAAAGACTGAGTGCTAAAATGTAAGATCTAGCTGTTATGGTTGGTTTTCCAGGTGATGGATATTTGTGTCCGTTTTTTAAAATCGGACGATTCTCAAGAGAATGATTAAAGAATTTCACTAATGTTATAGCTCGCTTGACATCACGCAAGCTGACACTATACGGTTCCTCAACTTCACGAATGAATTTTTGAGAAGCGAATAAGAGATTGGTAAATACGGGCTTGCAAGTTTTTTTAATTCCTTATCAACCATAATTTGAATATATTTAAATTCATCATTTGGTTTTAAAACACCATAGTCCCATACATAATCCAAAATTTGGTCAGGAAGTGATTTGACTTGATAGATAAGGTTGCTTTTTTCTTCGTATCTTTTGACCTTACTAGTTTCACTTTGAGCTTTTGTACGAATTCGGTATGGATTGCAGGCAGATAATAAACGAATATTTGGATGTATAGGTTTACCATTAAATATTCTTCGAGATATTAATTCTGCAAGTAAACCCATGTGATTGCAAGCATTGATTTCATCAAATAGTAACCAAACCTCCCCTTTTTCTGCACCTTTCAAAGCATTATTCATGAACTCCATAATACTTTCTTCTTTAACTCCAGCATGAAGATTAAGAGCTTGGAATCGAACTCCAACCATATTGGCTAAATATGCAATTAAACTTGTCTAAATTAAGAATAAAAAGTTTAGAAAAACTATAAGATATAAGCAATATATAATAATAACAAAAATTTACCTTGCCACATCCCACTTCTCCGCAAATTACTACCGGAATATTTGCACGTACTCTTAAAAGAATTAGCGCCATCTTTATCAAATTATCACTAGTTAAAGCATATTCGGGGTAATCTAATTTTTCTGTCGAACTTCGTGCCATTGCTTCTAACTTCATTAAAAGCGTATTTGATGACATTGTATTGTAATCTTCCAACTCCCAATTTTCTAGATTACCAATTTCTTGACTCTTTAGCAATAATTTAATATCATTGGGAACGCTATTTTTGTCACGATATAATATAGAAAAGGTATTTTGAGTTTGAGAGTTAACTAATATAATAAGATTTGCATTATCCCATTCTACAACTGTTCCTATACGAGAATCTTCAGACAAAGACTCGAATTGTAATGCTTTTCTTTTAATAGATCTGGTTGCAAATTCTTTTGAAACATTTATTAAAGTTCCAATTATTAAAGATCTTATATTGACGTTTCCCATCGCGAATTTTAGATTTTCTATGGTAAAGAATTGACATGATGATAATCGAACTAATTGTTCTGCAAGAACATTAACAAAGATTTCGACAAATCTAAATGATAAAGCGTCCTCAGAATTTTCATGAAAGAAATATTTCTCTATAAGGTTCTGACAACGATCTACCGGTAACGGTTCTTCATCTGTTCGGAGAAGGATTTCTTTTGTATCTATTTCGTTATGATCGTACAAATTCAAATAATGACAAGTAATCTGGTCTGGACTACTAATTTTTTGAGAGATCTTCAAATTTTTTATATTCCAAGTTAAACGCGTATGTAATAGATAACTTAACATGGGAAGAGAATTAAGTAAACGTTGTTCAGTGGTGGAGGCTATTTCGATAAATATATGTATAGGTGTTTCTGGGGGTGGAAGAAAAGCTATCTCGTTATTGGTAGAAACCATTCCCAAAGTTATTAACTCAAATAAAAACATATTGACTTCTTCAGGATGTTCAGATGATAATATATTAATATGCAAACTTTCTAAAGGTTGAAGTTTACATTCTTTGAATTGACGAAAAAGTGTATCAAAACCAATACCATCGCTTATCAAAAAGCTACGCGGAACTTTCTTTTTAATAAAACTAGTTTCTTTGATCCACTCAGTTTTACCTTGTCCAGATAAGTCGGATGTAACACACATAACATTTTGACAAAAGTCACGATAGATTTCTGTCATTGTATCAGCGGATAAACCGTTAGTTTCATGAACATCTAAAGAGAATTGATCTAAAATATGATGATGCGTTTTAGGTTCTTTACAACAAATAAGTGCCAAAAGATAATTTTTCTCTTGAACTCGCATAAAACTAATTTGATTAACTAAATTATATTGTAATTCAAAATCTAATAATTCTATATTCACAATACAGAATAAGTGATTCTCATATCCATTATTTGAAGCAAAAAAACTTCTTTTAATGAAAATGGTAAGATCTTCAATCGTAGTCGATGAAGTGCAAATCAAAAGTTGCCATGGTTCAGGAAAATATCTATGATTAGCATATAATGACATAATAATATTTGGAACTCGAGTTTTGTCAGTACATGCCGCAACAAATATTTTACCCTTTGCAACAATATCTGAACTTATGCGCTGTTCAACAATTGTAAATTCACGCGTTTGTTTTGGAATATCTTTAAAAACTTCTGCTAAAATATCACCAATCTCACAAAGAAGTTTAAGATATTCTTTGGATTCAAGTGAAACACTTTGTTCGCGAGAAGGCAATTGAGCTTTGCTATTTACAAATCTGATCAATGTTTTACATTCTTCTTCATTTTCACTATCTAAATTATCTGACGTAAAATAATCGTAAAATGCTAAAATGCTACAAGCAGGAAAGAATGTCAAATAATAACACCTTTCGTGAGCACAATTCACTATACTTTGCCTATAAAAGTTGTAAATTACTAATTTGTTAAACTTTTTTTTTTTTTTTAAAAAAAAAAATTTAAAAATAAATATAATTACCAATTTTTCGGTTCATCCTTTAAAGATTTAAGATAAACTTTCATGTTTTCTGATCCATTTAATTTTTTCTCTAAACTTCTATAACCAAGATGTCCCATTTGGATTAACGCGGATAAAACATTAAGTATTTCTTGCATAATAATAACTTGGGCAATGAATTCATCCAAATCTCTATAATTTATTGAATTATTTTCATTTGTCCTAACCGTAGTGGCTGCTAAAAGAGCCTGTCTACGTAAATCCAAAATTTCATTCAAGTTATATGTCATTTCACATTTAGAGGTATATTTTAATAATACTCGACACTTGTCTTCCTTTTTTACATCGTGTATAAAAGTATAAATTCCATTAGTTACGAAATTCTTAACATCATCTATAGCTTGTAAAGACATGATGCTAATACGATATTACAAATTTCATTACTTATTTACAAATTTCGAAGTGGGAAAAAAAGTATGGTCAAAAGACTTTTACAATAATTGTTTTGTTTATTTATTCCGTACAATGAACATCACAAATTCATTAACCTTATTTTATTCAAACTAAACCTATTTAACCTTTTTAGCAATAATCAAAAAAAATAATTTTTTTATGTTACACGATTGTAAATCAGGTTTTTAACATTATATATAAATTCTTATAAATTAGAAAATTTTGTTAAACAAAAAAATTTATTTGGTTAAGATAATAATTCATATAAAAATAAGACAAAAAGAAAGAAAAGCTATTCATACACTTAATAAACTATATAATTGACTAATAAAATACATTAAGATGAAGCAGTCTTCTTCCATATTCCTATTAGGTGTCTACCTTTTGACTCTGCGCTTTGCGTTTGTTGGTTATTAGGTTGTTCTCTCATCTCTTGATTACTTGGTTGTTCCCTCATCTCTTGCCCACTAGGTTGGGCTCTAATGTCTTGATTACTAGGTTGTTCGCTCACCTCTTGAATGCTAACCGGTTTTCTCAACTGTTGATTGCTAGTCTGTTTTCTCAACTGCTGGTAGCTAGCCTGTTTTCTCAACTGCTGGTAGCTAGTCTGTTTTCTTAACTGCTGATTACTAGACAGATTTCTCGTCTGTTGATTATTGAGCAGTTCTGTCATCTGATTATTATTGAGCAGTGTCATCGTGTGCTGATTAGCTTGTTCTCTTATATAAAGATTTTTAGCTTGTTCTCTCATCGTTTTCTTAATAAGGAAAAAAATTTTTTATCAATTTAAATCATATCAATAATGTCTAATAAACGTATTTATTTAATTAATAATAAATAGTTTTATTACCTCAATCCTTTTCATCGTAAATTCATGGGCAGCAAATGTGTTGGCAAGCATCAAGTTTTCCGGGAACAATTCATCAATGAGACGCTCTGAGACTGTTGAAGGCCAGAAATTTAATGAAAAATCTTGCAAATAAATATATAATGATTCAGTTTGTTTCTGATTTTCTAAAAGTAAAAATCGGAACATGAATCGTTTTAAAGCTAAAGCGAATGCTTCTGCTGGTATCAATTCTTTTTCAGCAGTTTCCTGTTTAAAATTCACAGATTGAAGTATCGCCGTCTCCATATCTATCGAAAGTGGAGCTTTATATCTTTCATGAATATTTGTAATTTTTATATTAGCGATTTGTTCTTCAATGAATTCATATAAAGCCACCAGGTGTTTCAGCTTCAAATCGATGTTTAATAATTTAGAAAATCCTTTATTTTCGAACAAAGAAGATAATTTCATCCACTGTAAAACGTAATCCTTAATCAAACTATCTCCAACTCCGACTGTTATACGTTTGATAAACGACAAAAGGATTTCCAATGACGATAAAATTTCTAACGCATCATCTAAATTTAATTTTAAAAATTGTGCACCTAACGAGTCCATTTTCTCATTCGGGATTGGTTCTTGAGGTATTAAATTCTTAATATCGTCAAGAATTCTAACACATGTGGCGAACAATTCCATGTGATATGGGAAAGTTTCTAAATACAATTGAGATTCCGGTTGCGTTTCTATATAAACTTTGTCAAAAACCAAAAGTTTTGCCAATTCTGCCTCAATCTTCGTTAAATCATAAGCGATCTCACATCCCCTCGCAATTGCCAAATTTCTATGACTGTAAGAAAGGATTTCGTTGTCCAGATAAAAATTGACTATATTCTCGGATTTAACATGTTCAATACGCATAGATTGAAGGTAATATCCGTTAGTTTCAATTGTTTTAGTTGATTCTACTTTGGAAAATGGTACGACAGTTTGTTCGATATCAAAAGTCGGTTCATCCAAAAACATGAGTGATCTACAAGTTCCAGGTGGAATTGTCATGACTTCTCGTAGGAAATTATTTTGTATAGAAATTAAATATTCTAAGATGGCGCATAAATAGACTCCTGAATCCTTCGGTTCTATTAATCCAAAGACAACTGGTAGCTCATATTTCATGACCGGTTTATCGTTTGGAAGTTCAATACAACGATATCTTCTTACAAATGGAATAACCGTATCCCAACCAAGTTTAAAATCTTTAAAGGCGTTATGGAATTTTTCACGATTCTCAAGGTTAGACTCATTTTCTAAAAATTTCCTAAAGGTCATGTCTTTTGCATTTGATCTCGTCAATTTATACCCAAGTTTGGAATTTAAAATTTGGACAAATTTTACAATAGGTAAAAGATGTTTAAGTAATTCTAATTGTCTGAAGTACTTGATAAATAATGAAAGGAATGGATAATTATTCGTGTTTTCTTCCAAATCATGAATATAATATTCACGGAAACTAATAAAGTCATTTACTCCAATCTTCCTCCATAAACTAGGTAAATTTTCAATTCGATATTGCTTATCCATTGCTAGATTCTGATTAATCTCATCCTCAATCACATTAATATTATTGTTGGCCTCCGCCACTTGTAATTTCATGCGATAATTAGATGCCGTTTCTGTTATATTTCTAAGTTGCGGTTCAATATAATTATTATGGAACTCCATTTCCCAATCCTTTCGTTCATCAGATGATGTTACTTGCTGGTTCGGTAGAGGTTGTTCCGTCATTAAAGAAATTAATGAATGAAACGTTAACGCCAAAGTCTGGTTAAAATTATAAAATGTTGTTATAGTTATTAATCTTATTAAAAAAAAAAAAAAAAAAAAAACTTTTGCAAGTATACCTCATCCGAACAATTAAGAATGTTCTTGAGAATTTCCCAGTCATTTTGGATATGACTCGTACAGTAATTTTCGGCATCTGTGACCGTTTGATCGTTTTTTTGAAGGAAATCAAGTGCTGGTTGAGGTGCAGAAGCTCCAATAAGTACATGAACAATTAAATGTAATATACGATATGAATTAGCTGGCAAAGATCTAACAACATGAGTTAAATTTTGATTAACAGGTTCTCGAATATATCCGGGTTGATCTATAGTCTCTACTTGCGCAAATGACGGTTTAATAACAGTTCCGGTAACCTTTCTATTACATTTCGTGCATACGCTGGTTACAACACCGTTAATAGCGTCACCACAATCCGTGATAATTGATATTACACCACATTCACAGGCTAACCTTACAAAACCACCGGCTAACTCATTGTACACCACCGACGCTGAATCAGGTGCACACGATAAAATAAACAGTTTATGACAATCTTGTAGTCTGTGTAAGTACATTGCTAATTGAGATGAATCCGGTTCAACTGAGGCGAAATATGTGATTATATGTGCAATAACACTTTTTAAAAACAAATCATTACTTCTAATCTCTGAATTGTCGATTTGAAGAAAAGGGAATTTATTTGATACGATGTTTGTTGTAATTGTTTTAAATACTTCCGGAAGATTTTTCATACCATCGATCTCATTGATTAAGAGATCAGCGGATTGCGTTTCCGGATGTTGCCATTCTCCTGATGCCCTTAAAAAGTGAAGACGCGCAAAGAGAAGTCCCATTAGAGATAACTTTGCCGTCAAAGTATCATTTCGTTTTATGTTTTGTATGAACTTTTTGAAAGGAGCTCTATTGTTTATGCTATAGAAAACCGTAAGACCTCTTTCAGCTTCGTAATATTCAGGCAATTCGCAATATGGATTAAATTGCAAACGAGTTTCTTTGATGCCTTCCCAATTCAAAGTTCCAAGCCAAGGCAAAACATTTTTCTGATCTTCACAGAATTTTCTAACCCCGTTCATTGAAAAATCTCTTTGGCATAGCTCTCTTAAAAAGTAAAACTTGAGCGGATTAATCAATGGATGAGAGGCGGCCATCTTATTATTAATTTGATTAATTAATTCGGCACTATCGAGGTCGGTTTTGTTGTATTTTTGGAAGAAACAGTCCCAGAATCGACGAACAAATTCTTTAAGTAACGCAATGGCAGCTATTTTTTGCAATGGTGCGACTTTTCCATACAAAACTTCAAGGGCAACTCCAAAGGAATCTATATCCAATTCAGAATTCATAAAGAATGTTTGTTCAATAATATCACAGCATAATGTAGCCATGTTTGTATCCAAGACTTTAAAACATTCATTAATAACGTTCAAACGATCGGAATGCCTTAAAATCTCCTTGGGATTTGCAATGATTGTAAAGAATATACGCTCGTTTTCGTTATTTTCTGAAATAAAGATCTTTTCAATGATTGCACCCATTGATGAGAAAGGTTCACTTGAGAATAATTTTTTATAAAGGCTTATTCGAACATCGGAATCGATCGGAATTAATTCAAGACATCTCATGATAAATGATCTTCTTAATATCGAATTCTTTTCATTTCGTTCCAATTTATCTAATTTATCAAGTATGGTGCTGACAAATTCCTCAGAGAAAACTTCACGTTTATTATTCGAATTTAATCCAAGCTGAACTATTTCTCTGATACTAACTAAGGGAATTATATTTGTCGCGACTAAATCATTTACTACACGTAATAAATGCAGATCTGGTAAGTTATCCGAACTCATTATCTTATTGCTGAGAGACAATACTTTGTTTACATCATGTTGCCACCTATCGAGTAATTGAGCCTTTGTTGCGTCATCTTCATTTTCACATATCCTCTGGAGCATCATTCTTGTTATTTCTCTTACTAGGTATCTTTCTAAACTTCCATTAACATTGTCTTGGTCTTCAATGTTTTGAATAATTTCTGGAGCCATTTGAGCCAATTGTAATTGTGCTAATACTTTTTTAGCATTTTTCCACCAATAAGCATGAAGGAAAATTGGTTGATACACTTTATCACCAACAAGTAACTTCAAGATTAACGATAAGATGCTTGCATTCACATTTTCACCATTCCTTGCCGTAATTACGGTAACAAAATCATTAAAATATAGTTCAGGAACCCGATCAAGAGGTGAATCTTTTAGTTGAGGAACTGATGTAAGAATGTTATTTCTAAAACTTTTCAGATGATCCTCAATTACCAAATGAAGTTCATAAGCAGAGTTTTCGATTGCATTTTTCTTTTGTATTATCGTCAATTCTTCTTCATAAAATACTTTGAATTTATCTATTCGGTTCATAAAATAGAATGAAAAAGGAAACTTAAGATCATATAAACTTCCCGTCGTCATGACATAACCATTAGGTTTTGGATCCGGTAAATCTTCAATTTTGATAATTGTCCTGTCCATATAAATTTGTTTCCAAAATTCGAGTAATCCATCATCGTTCAGTTTCACACGATTAATAATATAGAAAAATGTTTTCGTTGCAGATAATCTCTCCAAGGCGTATAAAACTTGAGCTATCGGTATCCTAACTAATGTTCTAATGTATGTTTGCAATGCCACAGAAAAAGATGCGTATGGATACAAATTTTGTTTGTTTGTCGCAACTTTATATTGCCAATCATTTGTAGATTTTTCTTTAACCCATTCTATAGCCCTTACTTTCAAACATTTAACAAGGCTTGGATATTCCAATATTTTTTCGCTTAATAATCTACATTTATTAAAAAATAATGTATTCAATTTAGCGAAGATACGTAAAATAATTTGAGAAGAAAAGAATATAAAATATGAGACCGATTCTTACTTTATATGATTAGCAGAATTATCATTTGACGGATATCTCATGCACGACAAACACCACATTAATTCTTGTTTTAA